GCCCCTAATTCTTACTGAACGCTACTCTGAAGTTGTTGCAGTACATAGGGGTACAATAATAAAAAAAATTAATAAATATTACTACCTCTAGTCTTAATTATAAGAGTCAGTTGACTAATTTGAGAAGATTAAAAAAATAAATTAAGTTAGTTATTTATAATAAGGGAAAACCATATTGAAGGTACCTATACTTTCTCTCAATTTTTAATTTGGTACCTATGTGTTTTTTTTCCTTTCAATTAAACATTTAATTTTATCTTTTTAGCAACATTAGCTCTTGTAACTTTGTTCTATTGATATTTTTAGTTTCTACATAAGGATTAATAATGTTAATAGAGCAAAATTAAAAGATTTAGTTAAGAACAAAAAACACATAGGTACCAAATTGAAAATTGAAACAAAGTATAAGTACCTCCAATATGGTTTTCCCTTTATAATAAATAGGTGCTGTCTTTCCTAAAATATTCTTAATAATCAAGTATATTGGCTAGAACTACCATTATTAGAAGGACCACCTTGAAAAAAAAAAGATAAATATGAGAGATAATATAGATTGGAGTTTTATATTTAGGACCAAAATAAAAGTCAAATAAGGTTTTATATTAAAAACCTGAGGTAGTACTTTGAACTTTTAAAAAGACAAATAAAATGGAAAAAAAATCCTCTAAACTTATATGTTGAAGGCATGGAGTACACTTTTACTGGTTTAAAAGAAGTTTGATACATACATCAGTGTTGTACTTTGATTATTATTATTATTAGTTACTCCTCCGGTCCTTAATATAGGACATAATTATTGAGTTAATTTTGATCCTAAATATAAGACATATTTATCATATTTATTAATTTTTTCTAAATTACCTTCATAGATATTTCCTTAACTATAATCAACTAAAAGAGAGAGGAATGATATTAAGAAAGATGATTATGACGTTTTAGGAAAAACATATCATATTTTTTATAATTAATCTAACTAAATTAGTTAAATAGGTCTTATATTAAGAACCGAAGAAGTATTAATTGCTGGCTTTTATATTAACTCCGCATTAAATCATTTGAATTTTATGGTATATTTTTTTTCTTACAAGGAACGGTACATATATAAAGATACTGAGATTTCTAAAGACTTCGACTTATTCGTGGCACGAGTATCTTCTATTAGTAAACAAATATGGTGGACTTTGTTGCCAAAAAAAAAATTGTGGACTTTGTCCGTATGTGAGATTATATGTTTTTTTTTTTTTAGGTGTAGAGACTATATGGTTTATGTAATGCACTAAATAATTACCTTTCGAACAAGGAACCGTGTCAACGGATTGAGGAATCGATATATTTAGTGGATTGAATAATAAAAGTAATTATTAAAATTATTATATATCAATACATATACATTTAAAATTATTCTTTTTAATTTCTGCTACGATAAATTTAATATTATTTTATTACGAATACAAATCCATAAAATATAAATAGTTATTTATAGTAATTATATTTATCAGGAATTTTTTATTGATAAATGATAACTAAATCTTAGTCAAAATAAATATATTAATATCTATTATATATCTATATAATTATGAAATAATATATTTATTTTTATTAATTTTTTATGCACTACCTCTAGTCCTCAATATAAGACCCAGTTTGGAGAGATTAAAAAAGTTAAATAAATTACTTTAAAATACTATATTTATTGTTTTTCTCTAAGCTAATTTCTCTATATAGAAATCATATAACATATGCTATAATTAAGTAATTTTTTAGTTTTTTTTTAAAAAAATTTTTAACTAATACGCTGGGCCTTATAATCAGGGCAGTATAAATAGCTGTCACGGTCAATGTGCTCACGACACGTATGTCTCATCAAATTTTCGCACATCTAACTTGCCGACTAAGGGAGTAATAAAAAAGCGCACATACATATTATTCAAAGAAGCGTACATTATTCAAGTTTCAAATATTATTATTAATTTATTAACTTATTTTGGTTACAAGATTTTCAACGAAGTTTGTAATCAACGTTTTAAAAAATGCCCAAGTAAACGATACTATATTTGAGTTCCAATGCTTATCATTAAGGGAAGTAGATAACGTGTAAAGCCATGAAATGCCATTAATTAATTAATTAATTAGCTAATCATGCCATGAAATGCGTATAGATAAGTAAAAGCTTTGCCATTATTAATTAAGTAGGAAGCTTTTGTTTTTCAAAAGATGGAATTAATCGAAGTAGGAATTTTTTTAAGGTTAAATGTTGTGTTTTTTTTTCCCATTAAGTTGATCTAAAAGTTCTTAGACTTCTCACAGTGCTAAATACTCCCTCTAGCTCTATACATATACAAATCACTTTTAATTAGCTAGCCAAGGCGAAGATAAAATAGTAAAAATAATAAAGTTGTCTTAAATTTGCCCAACTATTCATTTTTACTCCTACGGAACACTAGTATTTCATTTTACATTACATTGAAATGTGGTTAATTAGAAAGACATTTAGGAGATTAAATAAATCATTCTACATCTAAAGGCAATAAGAAATGCCTCATTAAGAATAATGACTTTTCCCCAGAAGTTGCCGAACATACATAGGGCCAGAGGGAGTATAAGAAAATTTAAAGAGATTTGTTTTGCCCCATATTATAAGAAACAAAGAGTTTTTGTCCAATATCTTAATTATATAATTCCAATTATAGCTTTTATTAGATTGGGAGAAATAGTTCATAATTTTTTGAGTGGGATTCAAGAACGAAGAAGGAAGTGCATTTTAGACATCTGCACGCAGGCACGCACGCCCACACCCGTTAAACCACTCTTGATCCGTCGGTTTCGACTGGTTGAACTAGTCACATATTATAAATTATGAATTATAAAATCAGCGTATATATATTTTGACTAAAGATCAGGACGGATCTAGTATTGTTGAATATTTACTTTTTTTTTTATCATATATTATTTTTATTCTAATTAAAATATATGTTTTCACCATTATGGATGATTAGTTGTTTTTATTTTTAGTGTATATTATTTAAAATATATTAATTTAACCATAACATACTAATCACGGGTAGATCATGCTCGGATTATTGAACCCTAAACCAGTGACTTGACTAATTTAATGACGATAAATTATCCTAGTGGCAGTACTACCTATTATGTTTAAATGAGGTTTCAAGCTTGAGTCTGACATTAATATTAAACTACATAATTTTAGTTTTGGACAATTTTAATACTGTTAATTGTTTCAGCCGCTACGTGGTTCTAAAACCATCCAACATAATTTCAAACACAACATGAAATTTGACGAAGTCTTGTAGTCCAAGCAAGAGAGAACACTTTGTAATGAAATAAATTAGTATTTTGCATGAATAATATAGGTTATGATCAGGCACATGCATTCGCGGATTGCAGCATAGACAAGCTAAAAATATATATTTTAATTTGCTACGTTGATTTGATTGATGAGAGCCTTTGTCGTTCACCTTGGGGTTCCCAATCAAAAATAAATCCAAGCAATGCAATATAGTGCAAAACTCGGGTTGTTTCACTTTGAGGAGCCTTTATTTGAAATCCTAAGCAACTAAGTATCAAAAATAAAGAATTGACTTGAAAAGGGATTGATTTTCTTGTCATGATTGGCAAAATTTAAAAGGATGTAAAATGAGTAAATAATTTTTGGATTTTTAGTTTATAAAATGGATATGAATGAGATAAACAAAGAGAATTAACAAGTGACAGCAAATGGAAGAGCAATCCTCTAGCACAATGATTAAGGCTATCATTACTTCAATTAATTTGGGAGTTAGCTAAATTCAAAAGACTCTAAGGGCCACCCCCTAGACTCGGTTTAATTAGAATAATCAACACCAAGCCACCTTGCATATTAATTATTCACAATTAAACTGTTTCAGCACAATTAGCCAAAAAGAAAATCAAAGAAAAGCAATTAACATTTTTTGTCCAATAACCAAGCCACCTTGAATTACCACTAAATGTTCACAATAATTTCAAAACATAGTCTGACCCAGTACAATGTAAAGAAATTAAAGCTAATCATAGCATAATGTTAAATGCTAATCAAAGATTCCAACAACTACAACCAATCTCAATACAAATATAAATCATCACAGCCCATTCAAACATTATAAAATTCATTCTAAGACCTAAAAATCACAATTATAATGAAAGAAGTAAATATTAGAAGAGTTGAAACTCCCCTTCGAAGCTCTAAGTTCAAGCCATAACCATTGCTCTAGAGAATTGGAAGGATTTAGCTACTCCTAACCATCACCACAGCTCCACCAAAATTCCAATTCGGTTCAGCCATGAAGAACAATGAAGATGGAATCTGCAGGAGTGATTTTGCCGTGAAGCTATGGTCCTTCGTTCTCTCTTCCTCGCCGCTTCCAGCTCGTGAGTTCCTCCCGCCCCGCTTGCGTCTTTTTTATTTTTCTTTTTCGCCGCCGCCACTGTTCGCTTGCGTCTCTGTTCGTGCCTCCCTTCCATCCGCTCGCTGGAGATAATGATTATTAGCATATTAGGCTGTTAGTGGGGGGAGCAAAACGCAACGTTTTGCTCCTTTTTTTTTAATTATTTTTTTAATTTTTTTCTTTTTTTTTCTTTTTAATTTTAATTTTCATTTTCTTAAATATTTCAAAAACCTACAAACAAAATTCAAGAAAAAGGTAGCATTAATTGTCCTCAGAAAGAATTAGTCACAATTAAATCAAAATATGACAATTTTGCCCCTAAAAATAATAATTCAAAATAAAATATATTAAATTAATTAAGGCCAAAAGAGACTAATTAAGTTGACAAAACCCATATAAAAGATATCAAAATATGTAAAAATAATTGAGTTTGTCATTGATCAACGGCCAAAGAGCGTCCACGTATCTACATCGCATCCCATGTAATCTGGACGCTCATATAATTATATAAGAGCGTGTAGTAAGCATCAAGAAAGCAACCATAAGAAGAGGCGATCGAATCTCAATAACACATAAAAAAGAAGCGATCCAGGGTTCCATGCATGAACACTGTTCTATATATATCTACAGTCCTTCACCATCTTCATCAACTCAAACTTTCATCTGATACACACACACACACACACACACTGATAAATCTTATTATTACCAAGCATACGGCTGCCTCAATTTTCAAGTTCACTGTCTTCCTCTGCATTGCCCTTGTCCTTTTCTCTCCCAGCGGTTAGTTTACGTACCCATATCACCAAACGCTCACTTTATACCATTTCCTCGTTTGATATTTATTTGTTGAATTAGAGATCAGCTATGCATTAATGGCCTAATGTTACAATTGAGATTGTACCCACGATCTGTCACTGCTTGGGAAGAGTTTTCATGTCAATACTCGCTAGACTATAAGGCGATTGGCCACATTTGATATATGTATACATTGACAATTTCATACTAGTACTGTACTTTAATTGATTATTGTTTTCTTTGTCATTTTTCACTTAATGGAAAGAACTTACACACCCATGAACCATCAAATCACAGAGGGTCAAACTTGCAATCTTGCGCTTTACAAAAAAAAACCCTTAAGAGAAGTGTTTAGCGTCATTGGGTCAAAAGGCCATGATGCTTTAACTAATTATTGTTAGTGAAATAATATTTTTCTTTGTGTTCCTATAGATGTGTTAATGAAAGTGTTGTGTGTGCGTGTGTGTGTGATGCAGAGAATAATATTGCGGAAGCAAAACTGTGTAGAAGACTGAGCAGCACATTTTCTGGGTTTTGTGGTCGCAATTGTCCATGTGATGTTAAATGCTTAAGAGAGGGTGCTGTTTCAGGAAGCTGCCATGTTCATGGTTTTGGACGTGCTTGCTTCTGCTACCGCAAATGTTGAAGGAGGGAACCTTTCACGTGCCTTCCTCGTACCTATCTCTCTAATGCCGTGATTGAATAAAATAAATAGTGCTTCTGTACGTTAAAAGTTCTACGCATCAGGACTTGTCTTGTCTGGCTCTGTGTCCCTATCTCGCGTGTGTTTCTTTTTTTAACTTTTCCATGCTCTTTCTGGTGGTTTTATGTCTTTTATAGTGATATTGTGCCAGTACTTTCTAGTCCTTTTGGCTAAAACAAAGAGGAGTTTGGTATTTATGTGATGTAGCTCACTTCCAATTAAAGCACCATCGGGGACAATGTAATTCTAATCTGTCTACTTTTTAATAATATCGGTGAGTCTACATATGGTTACGTCATGAATTTATTATGCTTTTTTAATATTGAAGTATGTCTCTTAATATTACATGTCTTCCATAGATGAATCAAAATTATAATCCTAAAAAATGTTTTGAATATTATATGTCAAATCTAAATCCATACGTAAACTTTATTAAAAAAAATTACTACCTTTGATTCTTAATATAAAAACTACTTATTTAATTTGAATAGATTAAAGAAGTGACATTAATTAATTATAACAAATATAATTTGATCTGATGTCCTTGAAATATGAGATTATATATTTGTTTATAAATTATGTAAATTAGTTTAAAAAATTATAAGAATGATAAACAAACTACTTCTAAGAAGCTCTTATATTAAAAGCTAAGTCGGGTGAATAGAGTACTTTTATTAGATCAAATATAAATTAATACACAAAATCTATCGAACTTTACAATATTCAGATCTAAACATTAAAAAAAAAAGTCTTCTCTCCCTCTCTCCCATAATAAAATAAATTGGCAAATTGTTAAATTTTAAGCAGGGTTGTTTGTTAGTTTTCCATTAACTTGAAAACCTTCTGATTAACCTAATAATATATGCTTTTAGAAAGAGATTATAATTCATTCAGTTTTAAACATGAGTTAGTGAAAAGTTTGCTTTGGTCTTAAATGCAATACATCAATTTCTTTTATATATCTTCCTCATTTATTATTTTTTCCTAGACTAGATACCTATGTTGATTGCACATAATCAATAGAGGTAGTTTCTATTGTAAATATTAAAAGAGAATATTTTCTAATTAGTTAGTTTCCAAATTTACAACACTTCGATATATGGTTTACTTAACCTAAACCAAAGCAAGAACACTTTCAATATACAAGACACTTTTAATGGAGCAAGACTTTCAAACAGATAAGGTCAGGAGAAGAATTCTATTTATGATATAATCATGTCTAATGAATTAATGACCTAATCATGTGCCAAAACCGAGCAATTACGTGCCTAGTTTTAGTTCATTTAACCCATTCAACCCGGCCATATTGACAACTCTGCAAGCGTTCAATGTTTGGCATTAGAATAATACGTTCAATTGATCAAAACAAAACAGATTGGAATTCGTCAAAAGGAAAATATTTAATGAAATTAAAATATGTTGTGATTATCCCTTCACCTCAGTATCCCAAAGGAGATTATTGTTAGTCAAGTATAGTTCTATGTGCTTGTAAAAAAAATCAAATGGAAATTAAAAAAAATCAAAATTCAAATGACTCAAATTGAATATTAATAGTCTGGACTTTTTAAAAATTTATTTTTTGAATGATCAACCGGAGGTGGCAAAGAAAAAGAAAAGAAAAGAGAATGATCAACCGGTCTAGATAGAGGATACGTCTAACGAATTATTCCTTTAACATTGTTAGAATTACAGAGATCTCTATTATTCTCTATTATAAATATGTAATAGTGAAATGAATAGTTTAAAATAAAAGAATTACAAATTTAATATATACAAACAATAAGGTAATTTACAAAAAAAGAAAATACACATAAAATGTTTTAATTTTTGTAATTAAAATAATTAAAGTTATTATATTTAATAATTTATCTGAATGATATATATATTTATATCATGCGTCAGAGAAAAATTGATGGTGTAAAAAAATGAATGTCATATGAAATCGGATAAAGATTGTTAAAAAAAAAAATTGGCAGAGCGGCCAAAAGTCAAAGTCAACATAAATCTTCCCAAATCTACATATTTTGCGCGAAAGTCTAAAACCCCCGCCGGCCGCGTGCAGCGCACCCTGTCGTCCCTTCGCACACATCAGATATTAACCAAAAAAAACACACACACACACACACACGAAAAGGCGTCACCATGAACACCATTATATATATATATGTGTGTGTGTGTGTGCATAGGCCTTCATCACCTTCATCTCAACTTGAAACCCAGCCTCTTCGTTGAGTCTGATACACACACACACACACACACTGATAAATCTCATTATTACCAAACATGGCTTCCTCACTTTTCAAGTTCACAGTCTTCCTCTTCATTGCCCTCGTCCTTCTCTCACCCAACGGTTAGTTTTTACGTACTCAATCGCCTATATATCCTCAATTTGATATTTTTAACGTCATTCACAGTTAAACAAGTTTATAATTAATGTTGTTTGATTATTATCAGTTAACCATCCTTATAAATGTTATGCAGAGAATAATGTAGCAGAAGCAAAACTGTGTGAAAAACTGAGCAAAACATTTTCTGGGATATGTATCCGCAAGAAACCCTGCAAGTCTGCATGCGCCAAAGAGGGAGCTGTTGACGGAAGCTGTCATACTCATGGCTTTGGACGGGCTTGCTTTTGCTACTTCCGCTGTTGATCGATGAGATCCAGAGCAGAAGATATATATCACGCATCATCCTTTGAATACTATAGGTGTTATTATGAATATATATAAGATAAATAAGTAGTGCTTCATTCAGTTAAAGCACTGCCACATTATACGCCCCAAAAATTTATGATGTCTGGCTGTTGTTTGCCTATGTCTTAATTTGTGTGTGTGTGTTTATCCTTTTATGTTGTTTCTCTTGGTTTGTTGATGTCTGTTGTAATGAATATATTAATTGTATCTGTTTCGTGTTACATAATGAAGGATTCAGTTGTGTTATGAAAAAGAGCTCTGCGCCTCTGCTTCTATATCTTGAGTGGTCATGTGTACCTGGTTTTCCTGCTTTTTCTCCATAAAAGAACTATCTAGATAATTGATTTGTAAAAATTAAGAAAATTAGTTTAATTAGCTATTTGTTAAAAATGAGTCTAGGTTCTTTTTTCCCCCTCTCCCTCATTTTCTGTTTGCAATCTTATGTCCACCTTTAGATTAAAAAAAAACGTATGGATGGTTTAGCTTTAATATTTAAGACTATTATTATTATTATTATAAAAATAAATAAATAAAATCAAACTGTTAAAATTTGACATGCACAATTCATAACTGCTAGAAAAATTTTAATCTATAAAATATTATAATAATAGTTTTATAAAATATTAAATTTGAACCACTTAGTTTTTAATCTAAGGGTATAGATAATTAAGATTCTGGGAAGAAATAAGAGAATCTACTTCTATGAAAAATATGTTGGCTTTTCTAAAATATCTTATTTAATCATTTGTAGTAGAAACTATTTCTTTATAAAAAAATCATTTTAATATGTATAATAAATAAGGAGAGTAAATTTAAGAGATAAGGTATACTAAGATTTTATATTCAGAATGAAAACGAAACTTTAGTTGAGCTCCGTGATTTAGGATAATGTATAGAACTCAAGAAATTAAAAAGATAATTAAAGGCATGTACGTTTCAGAGTTCACTTGTAGACTATATATTAATTTGTATTTTCTTATTCACAGATCGAGGAGTATGTGTAGTGTTTAGGTCACAAATTGTGATACACTATGTGCGTGTTGAATGCGCACTGTGTAAAGTCATATAAGCAAGAAATGGAGACAGAATAATTAATTAGGTAATTTCGTCCCTAAATGACAAAGATATTATCTTTAATTTATTTGACCTCAGCATTTCCGTCTTAATGAATCAGAAAAGAAAAAATAATTACTAGGAAGCGACATTCAAAATTCACTTGGAGAGCATATTTGTAGTTTTCTTATTTCCAGAGTGAAGAGAAAGAAATTAAACATTAAGCAAAACACAGTGCAGGCTAGCTAGCTAGTATATTCATAGGGTTCAACTACTCAAGGCTAAAGCCAATAGATATTTACATGGCTTAATATAATTTTTGGTTCCTTAAATTTGTTTTTATTTTGATTTTGATATCTCAAGTTTCAAATAATAGTTTTTAGTTTCTTAAATTTTATTTCATTTATAATATTGGTCCCCATAATTCAATAAAATCTTGGACTATTTTATTTCTTAAGGAGCCAAAACCTATCATTTGAAACTTAAAAAATCAAAATTAAAATAAAAACAAACTTAAGACACCAAAATTATATCATCCCTATTTATATTTTCAAACTCAAAATGTGTCGCTCTTTTACTTTTGTGGTGTGACCTTTCAAAGGTATGGAAAATAAAGTTACACAAATTGTATTTTATAAGGCGAGATATGCCTCTCAATCATATTTGTTATCCACACGACTACACAAACAAAATCCAAACAAAGATTAAATTATGGAAGAACCAACACGACAACTCTCCTCTAAATTTCTTTTCATTATATATATGTATGTATGTATGTATGTATCTTAGCTTATTAAAAGTTGCAAAGTTTATCAATATGTTATAGTCAAATAATTCTAGTATTTTTGACAAGCAAAAGAATTCTAGTATTTATTTGTCAATAGATAATAAATAGACACTAAACTTAATAAATTAATTCAATATATCTTGTTGCATAATAGATAAGCAGTTTAAAATTTATTACCCTTTGTAACTTTTCCCTCGTTGATTGTGTTCAATGGGTGAAAAAACAGAGGACATTTCATATTCTGAAACCGATATTTTTTATGTTATTTGATGCACAATAATTTGTATATATCCATTATGGATCTGCATCCCCAGGATCACTAAACTTTTTTGGATCTTATTAACCAAAAAAGCATGTCTCTCTACGCTATAATTATCTTAGCACAAATCAAGAATCCCTAGGGAAATGCCAAGAATATTCTCGTTATACATTCGTTCCAAATCTCAACTATCTCTTTTTATTGGATGCTCTTCTATTGACTTCTTCTGGCCAAAGAAAAAAAAATCAAATGCAATTCTAATTATACCTATCTATTTTAGGAAGACCCTGAAAATCATATGTAAACACTGAAAAAGGATGAACAAAGACGGAACCAGTTGTAATGCTCATAAGCTCATCAGATCCGGACTGTCTAGATGTGATTTGAATGATTCAGATTTAAAATCTTTAATTAATTATTTTTAAATAAAAAATTATGTTTTAAAAGAATGATAGTTAAGAGATTATCTCTATTTTAGATTCTATACATATTAAAATAATTATTTTAAATAAATAAAAATAAAAAAAAGAAATCAAATCTGAACCATCCAAATGAGACATGGATGATTTAGATCTGATGAGTTTAGGATACTCATCAAAGTAATGAACACTGAAACTGGTTCCAACAAAGACAGAGGATGGGAGCATTAAAATACTCAAAACCCCATGACTATTAATATTCAAATATGGACAATATGGACACTTTCAAAGAAGGAAGAGCAATACGAAGCCATCTCTCAAAAATATCATCAGATCTACATTGTGTTTATAGAGGAAAATACTATATATGGGGAGACCCGTTCAATGAAGCGATCGAGAGCATGACACTTCGAATGTATAACGAAAGAACAAGAAAACGGACCATGTTATATCATGAAAAAGGAAGGTTTCCATGAAGATCGTGTGTATATGGCCTTTCCTTGAGAATCATCAGCTTCAACTCAGACATCGAAATTAAAAAAGCCTCTTTGGTCTGATAGCAATCTTAATTACCCGGCATGGCTGCCTCCCTTCTCAAGTTGTCTTCCTTCATTGCCTTCCTCTACATTGCCCTCCTTCTTACCTCCACCAACGGTTAGTTTTACCCATTTCTAATTAAACACCCACTCTAGTTTTTACCATTTCCCAAGTTAATAAATAACAATTAACAATCTGTGTGTGTGTGTGTGTGTGTGTGTGTGTGTGTTAGTATTCACATTGCATGTGTTGGTGTTAATGTAGAGAATAATAATGTTGAGGCAGTATTTTGTGGGAGACCTAGCGCAACTTCTCCTGGGCTCTTCACAGATAGTGGCTACTGCGATGATGCGTGCCACAGAGAGAATGCTTTCTCAGGAAGATGTGAGCCAGCCCATGATGTTGGATTGGCTTGCTTCTGCTACTACATTTGTAAGAAGTGAGAGTGAAGTTTCACAGTATCTATCACGCACCATGCTTATCCATCCATCCATCTCTATATATCATTTCCTTTCTACTCTGTGAATAGTGCCAGTGTTAAAGCACTAACTAGTGTCTGCATGCTTTGTTAAGCGATGCGATTTCATGCGTTTGAGTTTTTTTATACTTTTAATTTCCTCCACCAAATAAAAATTTCTCGTTGTCATAAAGGTACCAGTGTTGGAAATTTATGTAGAATCTTGTCATCAACTCTTCATGTATCATAAAGCTACCTTATAGCAGCTACTTCTTCGATGTTAATATCTATAGGCCAATATATATAGATGTATTATCATTAAATCATGAGAGTTCATGAAGTTTTCAAAATTTGAAGTATTTCTCAATGTTTTTTTCCCAAAAGGACTTCATGGGTGTCGAAGCCACTAAAAATAAGTTTCTACTCTCAGAATAATATTTCTAGCATACAGGATGAATAATCGTACTCCACAAAGAATCGCCAAATTATTTAAGCCAAAAATAATAAAACAAAATAAAAAAGGGGTTTCTTGGTAAATTAAAGTAGTCAAAATAAGTAAATAAATAAATTCCGAGAACATTTTTAAAAGGAGAAACTTCAATGCAAACAACTAGACAATGTTTATTTTAGATCTGACTCATTGCTTGAATACCAAAAGTTTAATTTATCTTCCTTTTCTTTTATTTTCTTATTTCTTGTCCCTTTTTGTAGAGAAATTATATTTGACAGGAAATACAAAAAAAAAAAATTGTCAGTCCAACTTTTATATTTGTGCTAAAACTCATGTCCTAGTTCGATGCCTTGGTTGATAGCTGGGGAGATTGTGAGTGTGTATAGAAGAATCATGATGACAAACTTATATCATGATTTTACTAAGTCATTTCCAATTCGGAAGCTTGACTCAAATTGCATCATTTCTGTTAAAAAAGGAATTGAACTTATAATTCTCTAAAATATTTTTTAAAAAAGTTTTTTTTATAGGGTTCAAATTAAGAGCACGCACACATGGCTTTCTTTTTAAAGAGAGGGGCTTGTGTCACTAGATTTTCAAGAGTATTTAATAAATTAAGAAAGGTCTAACAATATAGGAGAGCTCGGAATTGGTAAAAGAAGCAAAGTTGAAGAAAGTGAATGATGTTAGAGCTCCCACTCATCTTGAATATGTGAAAAACAAAAGCCACAAACTCCACAAGAGATGCTTTCTTTTTTCAACTGACTCAGAACTGTTACACTTACAATTGTATTTTTATTTTATTTTTTCAATACACTATGAGGGTTTGAACTCGGAAAAAGAAAACAAATAAATAAAGCATCTAAAGCCATAATATTTGCACGGCTTCAGTAACAGATATATATATATATATATATATATGTATTAAGTAGAAACAAAGACAAAAGAGGCATTAAAATATTGAGAGCCCCACCATCATCAATTGCAATATGCAGTTATGGACAATATGCATGGACGCATTCAAACGAGAGCTATAGAGCAATACAAAACCATCTCTCAAAAATATCATCAGAGACAACAGGGACACAGTCAATAGACAAGAAACGGACCGTATTATTAAAAGGGCCAAGATTTTCATGATGATTGTTTTGTATAAATATGTATGGAGAAGCACGGCGTCCTTTATCACCTTCAACTCACACATCGAAATCAAGCCTTTCTACTGTCATATACTTATCATAATTATATCAGCCATGGCCGCTTCCCTTCTCAGGTTGTCTTCCTTCATTG